GGGAGTCGCCACTAACGGGGGGGGGGGGGGCCTACTCCCTACTCTAACGCTACTTCTAACGCCTAACCATATCAAATAGTGACCAGGGTACATTCCGGTATACCGACCGCGTACCCAGCGTATGTTCCGGCAGTACCTGGGGGACATAGACCCTATGAGCTCTTATATGCCGTACCTCACCTACTCACTAACGAGTCTAGGGCAGTCGCCTACATCTACTCCCTAACCTAACCATATCAGATAGTTACCAGGGTACGTTCCGGTATACCCGCCGCGTACCCAGGGTACGTTCCGGCAGCTACCTGGGGGACATAGACCCTATGAGCCTTACTTACTGTCATAATGACTTAGTTAGAACACATCACTAGTTACCACACTAGTCTAACACAGCCTGTCAGTGTCACAGACACAGTAGCATTGATACATACTGACATAGACTCATACTAGTTACTACTAGTACTACTACTACTAGTTATACCTAGCCACAAGTTCCCTTCTCGCTAACACTACGTGGCGAGAGGGACACTACGTTTCCTACGACGTTGTAATACTAACAGTCGCGAGAGCCTAGCTGGTCGGTTCAAGTCATAGCCTCATACTCATCACTCATACTCATAGTCATAGACATAGGCCCTACCAGTAGGCTACCAATAGGATTAGTGACTTCACTCAGCTTACACGTATGGTCACGGTGGTACTTCTAAACATACAACGAATTTAACATGATACGCTGACCACTTCATAACCGCCTATTTACATTTACTACAATATTTATATCTTGATTTACGTTTATCGCGTTTTAGTTGGTGAGATCCACTGAATTATTGATATATACAAGACTACTCTTCGTTGTTGTTTCTAAATGCATCCTCGAGGATTCTCACGAAGATATGACGAGAAATGTGATGGCAGCAGCTGAAGCCGTACTTTTGTTAGAAGTATTTGTAAGGTACTAAGTGTTGAAGCGAAGTGATAGCACAGAAAAAATATATATTGTAACAACAATACCTGTTTTACTCATATAAATTTTAATGTTGCTGTGTGTTGTTCACTTGTTGTTCATTAATCATCCTGTTGCACGAGTCATGGTCACAATGAATGTAGTAATAGCTACTACGAGTATATGCCATGGGCCTACACACACTGTACACAATGTATTTTTTGGTTAACAACGGCAGTGTCTGTGGCTAGATTACTGCTGGGAGGGACTCAGACAGGATCTGAGAGCGGGCCTGTTCTAGTCCTAGTGTTGATGATGGCATCCATCTCTGGTTAGATTCTTGTTTCCCCAGTAAGCGCTGGCAATGTCAACATTGTCTTTTGGTGTTGGTCTTCACACTACCGCTAGTCCGCAAATGCAGACGTTATTAACTCCGCTTTGCTAATCTGAGAGGTGCGGGTTTATCCATACTAGGGGTCTGCGCGCTCAGACTACAATACCCAGTAGACTCGTTAGTGGAGTAGGCGAGGTACGGTCCGGCATATTAGATAGTACCAGGGTACGTTCCGGCAGTACCCCGGGGGACATAGACCCTCTCAGCCTTATTAGATAGTACCAGGGTACGTTCCGGCAGTACCCTGGGGGGACATAGACCTTCTCGGCGTAAGTAAGTGTAAGTTATTGCGGCATTTACTCCTCTACTCATTCAATAGAGGTACGGTAAAAGTATCACTACAAGTAACCATAATAGGGTCTATGTCTCCCTGACCTCTGTTTGACCTGGCTCGTTCAGATCTTTCTGACTAACCCTAACTCTCGGTAACTATCTGATATGGTTAGGGTTAGGGTTAGTCAGAAAGATCTGAACGAGCCAGGTCAAACAGAGGTCAGGGAGACATAGACCCTACGGGCACAAGTAACTCTAATTCTTGTTGTTTATTATATACATTCTTCACTTCTGTTTTTCAGATGCATGCCAACTTGCTAAAGTAAAAGCTATGCTTACACGATGTAGTCTGTAGAACCAAGAAGTTTGTTTCTACACACGAGACATTTTGCAATGTCATCTAGCTCTGCAGATGATGAGGCTGGTAGTTCAGCTGCAAGCGATATCAGCTTGCCTGACTTCCAGTCTGAGATGAAGTCAATATTTTCTGAAGTTCACGAGCAACTGCCATCTCTGGATTATGAGGATGAGGTATGATGGGATCAAGGATACTTTGGGACCCCGCAATATGTTGTCGCATATGTGCTACATTAATCTGGGGTGCTAAACTAGGCTTGAACTTTTCACATACACATATAAATTATACACGTATTTAAACCACGGCGTTATGATTAGTAACATAACTACACAAGTTGCTACCAATTAAAGATAGAGCATAAAGCATAACAGCGGCAAAAATAGCAGAAATGCTTCGAGTTTTACCTGGTGAGTGGGTGAGTAGTGAGAATGTCCAGTATGACTATACATCCCTAGCATGTTGTCTCCAAATCCATAGATGAATGAAGAAGGGGACGATGAGGCCGAGGAAGACGACGAAGTTGGATTTCAGCCGTGTAATTACAGGAGTGCAGGACAACACGGCCACCTATCCCTCGATGATAGTGCTGTTGACCAGGCAGGGCTGAATAAACGAGGTATTTACCTTTGTTGGTATATGTCATATTGATACTAGAGAATTTCATAAAGCAATCTTATTTGTATTGTACATCTTTCATGCGTATTCAAACTCTTTATGATCCGCTAACTCAGCCTGACCAGGCTGCATGGCTAATGTCAATACACAAAAGATTCTTCTTGGAGCTACCGCTAACTATGAGACCCATAGCTGTGTTTTTGTGTTAGTGTGTTAATTCACTGATCCATGTGCAGATGTGTGGCTGAAGTAGCGGCTAGAGTAAATTTGTTCTCCATCGCCTACCTATTCTTCCAACCATCACAAACCATCTACTATATTTAGTACTCCTGTATAAAGCATGAATAAATGGGTTTGAACTTTGAACTCCGGACGTGTAGACTGCGCCCAGCAGGATCCTCTCGCGACCCCAGAGTTTGGCTCCGGAGAAGAGGAACTACCCGAGGACAGGGAGAGATCCCCTCTTCCTCCACCTCCTGCTCCTGGTGCTCACTGCGCACAGGAACTGAGCGACATGCTCGCAAAGTTTATCCCTCAGCAGCCTCCAGTGCTGGATGCGGCGAGCGTCAGTCTAGGTGAGGGCCGTAACGCTGCGTGCGGGGTAGTGTAGCTACGACGCACTGTAATGCCTTGCTACAATGAGGCCTTGCTTAATGAAGCCTTGCTTAACGAAAATTCGTGTAATGGACAAACTATTTCGTTTATAATTACTGCGTAATATTAAGCATAATGTCGTGAACTTGTATACATATGTATAGAGTATGTATATGTTTGTGATGGTAATATAGGTGGGTTGCACGGATGTGTAAATATGAGATATTGATAGTATCATTCAAGAAAAATGTTGAAAGAAAGAAGAAAAGTTATCAAGTGCTAGATTTTTTATCCAGGTAAGACCCCATAGTATGTCGCAATCTATCATAACGCTTGATTCTCACGCGCCGCTGTGCCATATGATTCATTGATTGGTGGTTTCTCGTTAAGATTTCGACGAGGATAACGATCGGAGTCTGTCGGAACTGCTGCAGTCGGATGAGCTCTGTGCTGCTGGGGGAGATCCAGGTGAGCAGATTGTAATCAGCAGCACACCTGCGTAACTCGTGGCTGTGCGTACCTGCATTAGGGCTTCATGTCAAACCAGATAATCCGCAGGCTTGTAGTTGCAGTAAAATGGTGTGAAAAATGCAGATGGTCGAAATCCAACATCGTAGGCCTAAGGCTTTTAATGGTACAGACGTCTGTCAGTAATTTTGAGTATAAACACGATGAGGTTATAATGATAATGTTATTCACTGTTTAACATTTTATTTTTGAAATTATGATCCACTGTTCACTCCAGTGTATACGAGTTTCAGAGAGGCCTCTATTTTGTGTCATTACTGAACTCTGGAAGGTATATGCTTGTATAACATATAAATTCTATGCACACATGAACCCCCATATGAACCACACACACACACTGCCCCCCATCACCACACGTACGCACACGCATGGACCACACGCGCACACACACGCACACACACACACTGCCCTCCCCCTACCACCACCACGACACGTACGCACTCGCACTCACACTAACAAAAAATGCATGCACGCGCACATTTTCGGACGGATCACTGACTTTTGGATGTACTCGCAGAGGGCTCTGGTTGTGATGGGAACGACGTCACACTGCTGCAGCAGCTGGCAGTGCTAGCGGACAGATACGGCAGCTCAGCGTGGACGTCCGATGCCACCAGCCTCCCACCGAGCTCCTCACACAGCTCCCCGCGGGGCCGCGTCGACGCAGGTGAGTCTCCCGTACCGATGCCAGCATCCGCCGCTCACTGCCACCCAGCTGCAGTGTTAAGACCTCGTCCTGTCGAAACCTCTGTTTGTTCGAACACCTGTGGTGGTCTAATCCAATTGTGTCCGATGTACGTTTGTGGTGCGGCGCACAAACTTCTAAGATTGTGTTTTATATGTTGTTTAAACTTGAGAATCTCTGTTCTACTCACTCTCATTGAGGGCTGTCAACATTCTCATTATCGTTAACCTCGTCCCCATCCTGACCTCGATATTCATTCTCATTCTTATTGTCATAATCCTCCTCTTCCTCGTCATCATCATAGTCATCATCATAGTCATCATCATAGTCATCCTCATCATCATCTTCATCTTCATCCTTGTCACCATCAATGTCCTTATCATTATCCTCATTATCATCGTTTACATCTGTATCCCCATCCTCATCCTTATCCTCAACCGCATCCTTATCCCCATCCGCATCCTCATCCCCATCCTCGGCACTCGGGTCGTGTGTGACGACACTGACGCGAGTTCTCTGCCGTGTTGTTTAAGATTCGATGACGGATGGCAGGGGGGTGGTGGCCGTGGGCACCAGCACCAGGGAGCCAGACACCGTGTTCCTGGACCTGCGTAATCGTGCCCCGCACGATGAGCAGAGCCAGCGACGAGCCGACAACATGTACTCCATACGACGCATACTCAGACTAGGGTCGGACGGGTAAGCAACACCACGCGCAGCATGCGCCGCGATTATTGTTACTATTTACTATATACTAACTGCTTATATGTAAAAAAGATTAAATTAATATTTCCATCTGTTGTTGTCACCTAGCTTTCGATCACGTCAAAAACTAATTATGCCGATAGCGAGAATGGTGTGCAATTGTTAATGTTACCTAGGTAGATTAAAAGTTGTCATTACTGATTGTTGCCATTCCTCAACTTATAACCTAGTTCATTTTACCTAGCTTCCTATCACAACTTAAAACGAATGCCCATACACTTATATAATAGCTACAATTGCGCACAAGCATTGATATTACCTGATTAATTAAATTACCTAATATTATTTGAAGAATCGGGTGACGCACTAACTAATCAAAGCAAAGTTTAGCATTGCTAATGACAACCGTTTTCTCGGCTGCGTTCAGCGGCACAGAGAGCTCAGACTCGGACTCGGAGAGCGGGAGAGACAGCGAAGACGAGACCGTCTCGTGGGAGAAGCAGCGTCTCAAGGTCAAGCAGACTCAGACGAAGGGCACGTCGTGCAGCCTGCAGCTGAAGCAGACACCCGCCGCCGAGAAGTTGCAGACGACGCCGACGGCGGAGGGTAGGGGGCCCACGGCCTCTGCGCGTCGCCGCGGCAACGGTCAGGTCGCAAAGAGCACATGCGGCGTCTCCACGGTGATGACGGTGGCGCCACCTGTCGCGCACGAGGAGAGGGAGACGGCGGAGCGGGGCGTCGGTACGAGTACAGGGGAGGGGTCGCGGGCGAGCGCGTCCATGCGCGCCGTCATGGCGACCGCAGCGACGCCGGGGGAGACGCTCGCGAGGAGGGGAGCGGAGGCGCAGGAGGAGAAGGTGCCATCGCGCGCGCCGCCGCAGGGAAGCAAGGCGAAGAAGTCCGAGTAAGTTGTCCGAAGACACCTGGTTCGTACATGCGTGCACGCGATGTGTTGCTCAGTCCTTTGTTGCGCCGGATTGCGTGATTTGTTGTGCTATTTCATAAATTGCCCTATCCACCTGAAGTGATTTACAGCACTAGTCAGTCAGGACTGTGATAGGATGTTTCAAGGCAATACTTAGTAACAAAGTGCCGCAATTTGAAACATGGCATACGCATGTAAAGCTACCTACAAAATTGGGTGAGCCTGACCGAGCTAGCAACAATATCTAAGAGGGCGTGGTTATCTCGCTCAGGCGAATAATTCAATTGCACGAATTGTTGCAATGCTTTGCAATACCTAATGCATCGTCTTCACCGGGACGTTGTACGCTCGATTTTATTGACGAACGGTAAGAATCGTCGTGGCGACGAAACACTGACCCATCGCCGTGTCGCACTTACAGTGAGAGCGCCAAGAAGCAGCGTGAGCGGCAGGTACGGATGCGGGAGTCACGGCAACGCGTGCGCAAGCAGCTGGAGGCAATGGCGCCGACGATGTCTGCCGGAGAGCGACAGGCGATGGCCGATGTGACAGGGCTTATCTACGACGAGGTATGTCCGCTACGCGTCATGGGTCCCACGCGTGGGAGGCCGTGGGTCGCGCGCTCACATAATGCCGTAAACAGTGAAGCTGTCGTCGTGAGTGTGGCACGGCGCGAACTTTCGCATAGTGCATGAGATGTATGGGATTAAATATTACAATATTTTTAAGATTGCAACACTGATTAATTTTTAGCTCGCCTTGACATCGTCAAGATGAGCTATTGCCATGGGGTGTTGTCCGTCATACGTCCGTCCGTCTG